GAGGATGGGAGGTTGTAGTTACTTTTTTTTTTTTTTTTTTTTGATGGATTACTAAAGATATGATAATGACATGGCTAAACTTTGATCTGTTGCTAAACCTAACCCTTAATTAATAAATACTATCAAATATATTGCCTATATTATTGTTCTGAAACCTGATGTGCTAGGGAAAAAAAATATGACAGATTCGGAATCGGTGCAAAAAAAAAAAGATCTAGAAAGTTTACTACCATCGATAATTTTTTTAAAAAAATCATGAAAAATTTGTTGAACAGTGTAATTGGTGGGGGTGAAATGCAACCAACCTAATGGTGCATGAGCGCCACCAACCGATATTGTTCTTCCCCTGCAAGGAGACCAATCTCGATTGATAAGTTTGCTGGCACCATCTAGTGGTGGGGGTCTGAACCACACCCTAATCTCAAATTTTTGTTTTTACCGCAAGAATGTGACTAGGCTACATCTCATATTTTGAAAAACTTGTAAGTCAAGACACTTGTATCTTAAAGCTTCACTGTATCCCTTCTGCATTCCATCCAGCCGTTCCTACCAGTGATTTTTCAATGCTGTTGTGCCTGTGCTGACGCACGCTGGCAACAATGTTTACCGCCCCCCCCACCCAAAAAAATCAATTTTGTCAGCCATCGCTCTCGTGATAGCACTGCAGTAGACGTTCTTTATTATTTTTAATCAACCAAGCATTCGACATTCAGAGCAAGGTTGTCCACATCCTCATCCTTCTTGTCCAGTAGCGTCACTGCTGCAGTTGCCGCAGTGCACCCACCCTCCACCCCCCAAAAAACTGCGCCAACTTAATGTCAGATGGTTCGGGGTATGTGAACGCCGGATGGGCAATACAAGAGCCTCCGCCATGTTCTCTCAACACCGCACCTCTCCATCCCCCCCCAACCCACAATAAAAAAAAAAATTAAAATCCCCTTTACACTGTCTAGCATCATATTCCCAGGCCATAAGGTGGTTGTGGGAGTAGCCTATTTATGACGTAGAGTGTTGCTTACCTTAGCAGCTGCTGGTTTTGTTTCTACTGCTGTTGTCAAGTGCAGGTCGTCTGAGGCAGGGAGCGCGCGCGCGCACACTTGAGGACAGACGACGCTTATCCGCTTGGAGGCGCGCGCACGACACGCAGAAGGGAGGGGTGTGGGTGATTGTGTAATCGCGCGCACACGCACTTAGTTATCCAGAATCTGCTGTTTTTGCCAATTACCGTCTATATATAATTATGATTTGATATTTTACTGTTATACAATGTGCTGTATGTATTGCCAGTCTTTTTTTTTTGTTACGTTTTGAGAACAGCAGAGGGCGCACTCGACTCATCTATCCACTGTCCATACCAGCCGGCGTCCAATTCATAGGTACACTTTTCCAAAAGAAATTGCTTGCAAATACGAAAGATGAACTGAAATGCTGTGGAATTAACTGTATTGGTTGAATGTAGAATGCGAGAAAAAAAATCACAAGATGTCCGGAATGAGCTGAATATAGCTACAATGGTTTGAATCAGTCAGTGTGAGTTATTTAAAATACAGTTGGTAATTTTGCTGTGGAAAATAAAGCGGTATTTTGAATAGAAAAGGTGTGAATTTAGTGAATATGGAGAAAAACCGTTCCCAACTCAGAAATGTTATTACTCGTCAAGTTTTAGAAACATCTGAATATGATGTGGTCCAGTATGAAAACTACGAATGAAACAAAATGTTAAATTTGTATATCTAGTCAAATATGAGTCTTTTAACTTTGTAAAAGCAGTTTTGTCTACTATTTTTCCCATGTGAGGATGTAACTAGTTTTGCAGTTCCTCTTAATGAGATCTAGGAATCAAAATTTATCACTTTTTGTCTGGCCCCGACATGCACAAAGATTACATTTCTATAAGTGTTTTTATCCTAATAAAAATAGATTTTAGGGGTCCAAAACCTCACCCCCTGAAAAGTTCAAAAACATTTTGTTTGACTGATAAACATGAAATAGGGTGGGCGTAGCCATCATGACAGGATGACATACAAAGTCTGAAGGACCCATGCCTAAAATCGAACAGGAAATCAGCCATTTTGTTTTCCAGTGGCCATTTTGTGGCAAATTCCAAGGCTTGTACTTTGACAAATTGGCCCAAATGAGACCCAATTGGAAGCAGTTAAGACAAAATGGATTGATGGCGCAAAAATTATGTCGCAAAAAATGTAGTTAGAGATTATATTATTGAGAGACCAAGCTTCTAATTTAATGATTTACTCAATGGATTGTGTTGAAACGCCATGAAGGCACACTCCTGCCCCTCTCAAAATGCATTATTGTTACATTATATTTCTCTCTCATAAAGTAATAAAATGAATGCTAAAATGGTTACAAGCATTTGACACATGAGTTGACATGATAGACTAAATCACGGACTGGTTTCATGGCAATGACTCACTGTTGACTCATCTACTTTCCTCCCCATAATAATGTGGTGTTCAAAGCCACAGAATTAAGACAACATGAGAGCACCATTCTGCTGTGATTGATAAAATAATTGTCACACATGATTTTGAAACCTCTTTATATGCAAGTTTACATAAACAGGGGTTTCCAAAGACTGATTTTAGCAGGTTTCATAAAACGTTTGCACAACACTGCTTTACAGTGATTCCATTTTGTATACATTCATTCTCACTTCAAGAAATATTGTGCATGATTTTTTTTTTTTTTTTGTGCGACCATGTTCAAAAGCTTAAGGCACAAGTACAAAACCGGTCAAGAGGTGACATCTGGCAAATGTGCAAAGTAGACTGTCTTGTCATTTCTAATACTAAAGTATTTAAAAGCTAACTTCTGTCTTTTGTGTACTTAAAAAAAAAATGCCCGCTTTAAATTATTAAATAAAACGGAGTGATCCCTTTTAATTCCATGATGCCACACCAGAGAATTGCAAAACACTAAAAAGTTGCATCTTCGTATCCACTCTTTAAAATAAAAATCAAGAGGCCCCTTTTGATCCGGAAACAATATATTTTGGCACAGCCCAAAAGAATAATCAGAAAAAAAATAATCATAAACTGAGGTGTCTGTATGAAAGGCACAAAGTGATAAAGCCCGTCAGCTGTTGTGAAAGGGGCTAAGCGAAACAAGCTGCCAATTGGCGATTCCATAAGTTACCAGACTAGAAATTAAGATTCTAGGAGGTGACTAGCCCCCTTCACACACCCCTTCAAAAGCAGGTTTTCACCCACATAATTGTGTGAAAGGTAGCGAGAACAATATAAGGGCTAAAAACAAAATATAAAATATCCCAGCTCTTTCGGTAGTTAAGTGAAATCCCATTATATTGCGGTTGTTCAACTCCACGACATCAAAAAGTGGGTTTGGAACTTCTCCCCTGCAATAAGTGGGGGTTGACTGTTAAGACAGTAAATTCTCGACTGAACTCTGCTTTCTTCTTACGTAAGTGTGCTTTGGTCTTAGTCTTGGGCGGTGTAGGAGTCGGCGTGGATGGCCCAGGGCTGCACGTTGCCTCGACCGAAGATGCTGTAAAAGGTGGCGCCAAAGATGTTGATGGCCGCCGCGATGTAGAAGACCGTCTGCCATTCTTCGATGGTGTTCTAACACAGATAACAAGGGACTCTCTTTATACTCTTATTTTCATCGTCAAAACTCAAAATGTTTCAGGTCTGACGTGTTGCTTTGGCATTCAAAACATTCAGATACTTTATGCGCACCCAATGTCTTATTTTAATGGTTAAAACAATTTTTAAAAAAAATTTAATGTACATCCAATATCCTCCTCAGATATTTGAAACTAAATGGGGTTAATGGGTGTCTGATGCCTTATTTTGTACCCTTCTAACAGTCAAAAGTTCAGACAAAAAAACAAAAAAAAACCTCACATGCATCTGACTTTTTTTTTTAATCAAAATTGAGTCAAAAAAAATCTAACCAGACTTAATCAGTTGTTTTGACATTCAGTTTGACTTCTCATTTTTAAAGTATTGGACAGTTGAAATTCAAATCTATATTAATACGTATAAAACTAATTCCACATCTAAAAAAAAATCTGTTTAAAAAAAACCTCTTATTTTGAAAATGGTTGTAAATTTTGTAAACTCACCCAAAAAAAAAAAAAAAAAGTCTTACGTTTACAGTGAGGCTTCTTGCAATGACTGGTCCCACCATCCCAGGAATGGTAGCGAAGCAGTTGGTGATGCCCAGCAGGATCCCCGCGTACCTGTCAGGATGACGCCACCGACAAGTGAATGGTACGTTCCGGTCCACTTGCATCGGGGGCCACCGATAACCAATACTTACGAAGGGGCGATGTCCAAATGGTTGATGTTGAAGCCGGACGACGACAGTCCACCCAGCGAAGAGGAGATGGTGAGGAAAGTCAACGCCAAAGTGTAGTTGCATCCCGTGTAACCGGCCGCCACCAAGAAGACGGCCGGTCCGATCATACCCACGACAGAGAAAAACTTCCGGACCGCGACGGTTGGGTAGCGCCACCTTTCCCGCAGGTAGTCGGCCAGCTGGCCGCTCAGCAAGGTGAACATGGCGCAACCCAGGTAAGGCAGAGCCGACAACAAGCCGTTCTGATTTGGGAGAGAATAGTGATGAAATGTGATTTTTGCTCATGACATCAACATGTGACGGCATATTGACAAACTAATTCCAGATCCAGACAGCACCTGTCAAGCCCCTTAATTTGGCATCCAACTCAATGTGGTTTGTTGCCAATTGACTTCCGATCCGAGGAAGGAATCGGTCACGTTTCCGTTTTCTGACAATTTCGATTCAAAGTGTTCTTGGGCTGCGTCAGAGTTTGGGAGGTGTCCTCACCTGCTGTATGCTGAAGCCCAGGACGTCATTCATGTAGGTAGGCAGGAGGGTGAGGAGGGTGTAGAAAGTCCAGTTGTACGAGAAGTGAGCCACCACAATGGCCAGCAAAGGCCGCGACGTCACAATGGCTCGCCAGGGAATGTGTTGGACCAGTGGTGACAGCTGGTACCAATCACCCAAAAAATGGCAAACAGCAAACAGTCGGTACATCATGAATTAACACTTCAGTCAAAATGAGCTGTTTTAATGTTTTGTAAAAATCAAAACTTTTTTTTTTTTTTGCCCCAAAGCAGCATTTTCGAGATGCGTGGTAACGCCAGCATCTAACTTGACTTTGAAGTATGCAACACAGGACGACGCCTCACCTCCTTCTTCAGTGAGCCCGTGATGTAGACTCGCTCCTGCTCCGAGATCCACGGGTGACTGTTTGGACTGTCAAATGCCAGGAATGCCCACAGCATGAACCACAACAGGCCCACTGCACCTTCACATACAAATTGTACCCCCAAAAAAAAAAAAAAGTCCCAAGTCATCCCGTGCACTTCATGTGTCAAACCAGAGTTAACATGACTGAATCGGAGCTGTTACCAAAGATGTAGAAGACATAGGTCCAGTCCAGGTAGAAGCAGATTTCACCTGAGAGCGGAAGCGACACCACCGTCCCGATATGGGCTCCTACCATACACACACAAACATGCATGTAAAGCTTTAACAAGGAAATCTTGACACCCTGCTGGATGAGCTTGTCTGTCTCACCGATCTGGGAGATGGTAAGAAGACGACTCCTCTCCAGGGGCGGAGCCCATGCTGCCCACATGCTGTACATGGCTGGGAAGGTAACACCCTTAAAAAAAAAAAAAAAAAGGTACGTACACCCACAACAAGCTTTTGAGAACATTTTTGCCAGTTGTAACATGTGCGTGTGCTTTTTCTGAAAGGATCCCAGGCTGCCGACGACATACCTCCCCGACGCCTTCCAGGACCCTGACGGCTATGAGGTAGCTGGCGCCCAGGTCGGCAGCCAAGGGGGTGAGCAGCGTAAACATCACCGTCCCCAGGGTGCCCAAACCCAGCAGCCACTTGGGCCCCAAGCGGCTCGCCAGGTAACCCCCGGGGATCTGTGTCAGGATGTAGCCATAGAAGAACGAGCCCAGAATCCAGCCTTGCGTCTCAGAGTCCCAGTTGTACAGGCTGGCCTGTCACAAACAACTTTTAACGCCCCAAATAAAATTTTAATCGAAAAAAAAAAGTGATTGTCTTACGACAGGAGTCATATTTTCCAAAAACAAAAATATGAATCCCACAAGAACCAATTATATTTTCCTGATTTTTTTTTAAGAAAGCAAGGACCCATTTTTTAAGTAGAAAAAAATCAAATCATAAAAATATTATTTTTCAATAATGTATGTATTTTGGGGAGATGACAGTTTTTTTAAGAAATTACAGTGGTCAAATTAAAGTAGTATTTTTATTTGAAAAAAATAAATCCTGCAAGAACAAAATCATACTTTTGTTTATGAGAATAATGTTGTATTTTGATGGGGGAAAAAAATTCTTCTGAAAATAAAATTTCGCTGTTAAAATAGTAAATTAAGTGTGCTATTTTGATCGGAAAAAAATAGGTCATCACTGGAATTCTGAGAAAACAAAGTACTATATTTTCAATAATTTGTTTTGGCAGGAAAAAATGGGTCTTTTTTTTTTTTTGCAGTGATAAATCCAAGAACAACGTACAACGTATGAATGCCGTCAATATTTTTGCTTGAAATCATTTTACCCGAGCGTGAATGTGCCATCGACAGTGGCCAATATTTTGTGTTCAAGCCATGAGAATGAGCTCAGTTGATTCGAACAGGTGCGCGCGTTAGGAGAAAAAGTTTGGCGGAAACTTTGTCAAGCATACCAGCAGCCGGCTAGTTTTGTTTGATTCTGGTTTGTTTGTTTTTTTCTAATAATAAAAACAGCAAATGGAGCCATGGGAAGAAGTGCCACTGAGACCAAAGACATCAAAAAAGTAAGACAAATTCTTTTTTGTCAATGGAGGGTCTTGTTGGCCTTTGTGTTGGAAAAGCAAAAACTGTAACAAATGAAGTGCTTATTTGCCCCCTCCCCCCATTTTGAAAAGTACTAATTTCATAAGAACACAATGTTGGTTTTTGAATAAGCGCTAGAATGTTCTAATTTTATTTTTTAGTAGTTTGGGATGTGCAAAAAGTAGTCTTCTAGAAACAGGATATGTATATTTTTTAAACAGTCAATTCATACTTTTTTGTCGAATAAGGTTCTATTTTTGATTGAAAAAAAATCTTAAATGGAAAAACCAGCAAATTACTGTGTGGTTGTGTTTGGGCCGCGCCGGGCTGGGATGGGCAGGACACACGGAGCCGCTGTGGTTGTGTTGCTCTTGTTTAGTGGTGTTGAGCATGTCCACCATGGCCACACTCAGGTTGACGCGCAGTGCGTAGACCACGAAGAAACCGAAGCAGGACAGCAGGGCCAGGCCGTAGCGTGCCGAGCAACATGCTGGAGCTGGCGGACAAAAAAAAAAAAAAAAAGGCTTGCGGGATAGTCAAAACAAATGTTCTTGGACGATGACCACGCTTGGGACATAAATCATCTTTCCCCATTGAAATGAGCGAAAATGGCAATCCGTTCCAGCCTCCCATAAAGAGAATTTCATTTTTTTGTGGCATGATGTTTAAAAAAAAAAACACTCGAATACTGCACTTTATAAAAACATACAGTAATAACATCATTAAATAGATCAAAGAATAAAGATTTTTTGCAAAATTTTTTTGCTTCAGTTTAATGGACTTTGTGCTGCTCCTTCTGGTGTTGGCCACCTGGAAGCGGTGTTACACATCCTCTGTAAACTGCTGTAAAATTTGTCATTCTTCGCGGAGGACAGTGTTTGCATTAAACTAACAGAGATCAAGGCAAAATTATGTGGGCGTTTTAACGACAAGTGTAATGCTCTAGTTTATGCTTACCGGTACTTCAAACAATACATTTCAATTGGGAGTGGCAATAAATAACTTGAAGCCTCTTTCCTAAATATTTGCACAGTCATTCCATCTGCAAAACTGGCGCTTGTTTTTCATGCTCGTCTCCCAGGATTGCACTCCCAAGTCAAAAAAAAAAAGCCTGAATGGAATCTCATCTTGAAAAAGTTGTCGGTTGAGTCAGTCTTATCTCACACCACCGGTGGATTGAGAAATAAAACACAATTGTGCAAAAAATAAAATAAAAAAAGGTCGTTTTTGTGTTTCCGCTTAAGTCCCGGTTACCCCTGATGTATCACTGACCGGAGTAGACATCAGTCATAAGAGTTCCTGAATAGTCCAAAAAAATATTTTGTTTGTTTTATTTGTTTTTTAGGGCCCAATGTTGAAGCACAAAATGAGGCCTGTGATTTATAATCAGTAAAAGGGGACATGTTGATTTTTTTAAAAGGGAAAACATTTGGAATTTAAAAAACAATCAATTTTTCGAGAAACAAGTTTTTTTTTTCTTTTACTAAAGTCGCACACACAAAAACATGAACAATAGTAGGCTTTCGTTCTACCAAGTATTTTTGTTTAGTAGAATGTAATCACTTTTTTTTTCTTCAAGATCTCTTAAGTACGCCATTCAGCAGCTCGTCAGTTTCTGCGGGGTACACCGTAGGGAATTACTCCTCTTCTCTCGGGTTCCGCCGTACACTACGGTGAGAGATTTGTGTTAAAATTATCAACACAGTTACATCCGCGATGGCTCGTTAGCGTTCAGTGGAGACAGCAATACTGCCTCCTCGCGGACAGAGAAGGCATGGCCTTTCAACACGCTACTGAGACCTGTCTGTGTATCTTGACACGGCCTGAGGTTTTGAGTCAAAATTAAATGCGCGTGTGCGGAGATCCAACTACGTACATTTGACAACTCACACACAAAATAGAATACTCACAAATGATCAGTCATGACAAATGCACACACAACAAAAAAGGCGCATATTCGTGGATCAGAAAGCACCTGAAAATCACAACTATGTGGATCTGTGAAAATCAAATAAGTTTGTGCATTTGAGAAACATGTCAACATCGAGGATGTCCGTGGGTGAATTTGAACACGAATCTCTTCATAGTTCACCATATGTTTACGTTGGAAAATATGCAGCGTCAACAAGCAGAAAAAAGCTTCCCGCTCTAGATTAAGTCGCCAAATGTAACAACATTGGGACACAAAAAAAAAAATCAAGGAAAAGTGTAATAGATGCGTAATAATATTTTTACGGGCAAACGTCAGTCGGTGGCAGCCAACCGGTGACATGCACAAAGCTTGGGCGACTCGTCGCCGGCCCGCCCGCCCACGGTTCTCTTACCCGGCTGGATTTTGTCCTTTCGTCCGCGTTGAAGAAGAGGTTCCTGCTGCTGCTCCTCGCTATCCGTGTCCGAGCAGCGCGATTCCATTTCGATTACTTTGCAGCAGACATGACGAGCGACGAACGCTACCACCTTCAGCAGGAAATCGATGCGGAAAACAGGGACGAAGGCTCCTCCCACTCACGTGATGTCTCGCGTGACGTCCAAGTTCGCAAGGACTATTGATATGAATTTGAGGAAAGCGTGGCTTGATCCTTTTAAAATGTTCATCATTAACTATACGGTATCAGAGTCTCATGTAAAAAGACTCCAGAAACGCAATAAAATCCAACTCATTATTTTACGATTTACTGATTGTTCCAAGTTTCAAATCTAAATTTGTAAAATAACCTCCCATTATTTTAAACATTTTTGATTGAAGTGGATAATTATATCAGGTCTCTTATCACAAATCAGAAATGTAGGTTGGTAATTAATTTACGTTCAGATATTTTTAACAAGTCTCACCGATTTCATTTGAATTATTTCTAAATGTGTGAATGAAATCTTAATAGCTTTGTCAATTAAAAAAATATTTTTTAAACCTGTTTAAAACTGAAAAAAAGTTTCTGTGCACATTGTAATATAGTGTAATGTGCAGTTTCTCCTCCACTGATGGATTGTAAATGATTTTTTTGCATAAGATGCTACCCCAAAGTGGTATTGTCGATTATTAACTGTTTTGTTAAGCTTTGTTACAGCTGCCGTTGTTGTGAAAGCGCTATATAAATCAGCATGTATTGTATTAAATGAATCTTCATTCAGTGTTCATATAAGTATAGTGAACTAATACTCTCTTGCTGTGCATCCATTAGAGTTGACTGGGACTACTGCATGTTTTTAGTGGATTCATGATTGCCATAACTTGTCTATTCCAGTTTGACTTGCCTGATTTTGACTCGAGATCAATGGTCAGATGCTGCCTGATCGTCCTACTCCCCCTCCCACAAACTCCAAGTGAACCTCGCGCTCAGAAATATTCATTCATTTATTGTGTCAGTTTGACATCTAGACATAAAACAAAAGGAGGAGAAAGGAGACTCACTTCTGGTACCAGGAGGGAACGAGGAGAAGCGTTAAGTTTCAGTTCTCTGCACGTCACCCTAACGATCTCCCCCTTCACCCCCTCATTTATTGGGAAATCTACTACATAGGTGTGCCCAAACCTAAAGGGTGGGGGCTGTTGAAGACACACTGAACTTGTTTGACTCTGTGTGTGTATGTGAGTGTAAATTATGTACATGTGTAATTGTTACAAAAACATCATGTTGCAGCTGGTGTTGATGGCTCCAACCATCGAACGCCATCTCGTGAATGCAGACTATTGTAGCTTCTATTCTATGCGCCTTATAATGCCCTGCGCCCAAGATATGAAAACTGTTTTAAAATAGGCCGTTCAGTGAAGGTGCACCTCATACTCCGGAGTGCCTTGTTGTGCGGAAAATATGGTACGACAGTGATCCCTCGCTAAATCGCGGTTCATTTATCGCGGCTTCAGTGCATCACGGATTTTTTCAAAAATATTCATATTTGTCTCATTTGAAGTCCGCAAAAAGTCCGCGAGAAGCAGCGAAAGTCAGCAAAACAACAGTGAGTCACATAGAGCAACATATAAAGTACATGTGAGGGGAGTTGAAATAGTTTGAAGCAGTGCTATCCTTTCCTGTTTGAAAGGGAACCCCCCGCCCCCCACCTTCTCTGCAGTCAGGCTATTGAATAGACAGACCGGAAAACCTGGACTCACCCCCACTCAACCATTTTTAATATGCCTGTATCTATATTTTATCATTTATATTTAAATACTTTTTGTTCTTCTACTTCTCCCTTTCATAATTTTGCAGCTGTAAATTGGGAATTTCTCCATTGTCAGACATTAAAGGTTTTCTTCTCATCTTCTCCCTGTCTCTCTCAGCACCTCTCCTGGAGCGGACGTAGAACCAACCAGCGAGCACCAGAACCACCAGAGATAGCAGCACGGCAATGGGAATCCCAGCTGTGATTCCTGTCAGAAGAGCAGAAGGTTCAACATTTCTTTGCGTACTAAGCAACATGGTACAGTGAACCCCAGTTCATCATGGCGGATAGACACTTTTTTTTTTTACAACAATTAAAAACATACACTATCTTTTTGTAAAACTCCAAACAACGTGTTTACAAAAAATGTTAGCTTTGTCTGAGTGTTGCCAAGGTGCAGACACAAATGAGGTGAATGTGAGAGGGTTGGAGGGTGGGGGGCATTCAAGCAGTATACTTACCGAGAGGCTGATGAGTTTTGGAAATTTCAGTGCAGTTAACTGCGAATGAAAAAAATAACAACAGACGTCAGAACTCGAGATCGTCCCGCTATTGAACATGCTGATAGAATATTTCTTTCAATTCTGGGCCTACTCTAAAAAACGGTTTGTTCTGCTCACCAAGCAACAGACGGTCACAGCAGAGTGTCGTTTATTTCTTGTTGTGTATTTCTGTTTTCGGGGAACTGCGCTGTTTATTATTACAACCAGTCTACCCCATTCTACATACAGACGCTTTGCAGTATTTGTTTCCGGAGAGGTACTATGAATTCTCGAACATGCATTTAAAATATAAAAAAAAATAAATCACCCAATATTGAGGAATGGGGGGGGGGGGATTATAAATAGATTTAAAAAGGGGGGG